TAGCTGCTATCACAGAAATCACATCCGCTCTCATGGCTGAGAGACAGTGGTTTCTATGGAGCGTCTTACAGCACCAACAATAAGCAAACTCAGGGAAACTGTGGCAGATACACAGCCAGCCTGACACAGAGTCTTCACAAAGCCTCTATACAGAGCGGTCAGCGGTTCAGCAGGCTTTAAAAGCAAGTCAATTGTGTACTGTAAGGGCCGGTTTCACAAACAGAGCTTAGCTTAAGTCAGGACTATAGGCCTTTACTAAATTAGGTAGTTAAGTAGGTTTTATAAAAACAACTTTACTTGTGGGTGTACATGTGGGTGTAAGCTTTTTTTAGTTAAAAGGACAGTTCACCCAAAAATGTTTCAAGGTTTATTTATTCTGTTAAACACAAAAGGATATTTTTAAGAATCTTGCTGAAAAACTGTAACCATTGACTTCCATGGTAGGAATATATAGACAATGGAAATGAATGGTAACAGGTTTCCAGCTTATCTTCTTTATTGTTTAACATAAGACAGAAACCTTGGCTTGACAGGATGAGAAAATGAAGACCAAATTTTCAGTTTTAGGTGAACTATTCCTTTAAGACAGCTCATAAATGTTTAGTCTAGAACTAGCATTAAGCCTTATGTCTAAAGCAATCATATATGAGTTCAAATAAAATTTGTAAAAATAAAATGCTAAATCGAGATATCAACTTGGAACGAATTGATGGCATGATAAACATAAATCAATAAACCAGTGTACCAGTATTAAAAGTATTTAACTTTAAAAAGGCAATTGTTATATTTCACAAAAAATTGTTAAAAGTAACAAAATAATTACAAATAATACTTGACAATAGTAAATTGTTTTGGTGAAATATTAAACTCAGAAAGGAGACCTTCACGGCTGTCTCACTGGACTGCACTGTGAAATACATTTAGAGAGCCCATTTAACAGCCTGACGCAGAGCTGGACACCATTCACCCATCCAGCTGATCGCTATATTTAATTTCTAATTACGCCTGGAATACAGAAGCCAATAAATCAAAAGTTAATTAAAGTCATGGATTCATCTTTAGTGCAACTCAATCATCTCAAATCCATTAACATTGTAGATGAGGGACAAGTACTGTGTGTGCGTGCCTATGCGTGTCTTTTTATGTATGCTTCTCTACTGTATGTAAAGGAAAGAGAGGGAGAGAAATCCAATGTGACATTACCTTAAACGATTTTTAAATATTAATGCTTCAATTTAATTTATTATACAATAATATAAATAAACACAGTGGGTAAAATCCTCCTGCTAAATATATTTCTAAAGAATTTTTTTGGGAAATCAGATGAAAGCAGCAAAACAAAATGTCAAGCAAAATTAAAAACAAGCTATTTTCTACAATGTATCATTCATTATTGTCATTACTATTTTCAGATAATTAATACTTACTCAGATTTTAAGCGGGATCAGGATTGGAATCGAACCAATTTGCTGAACTAGCATTTTACAACCATTACAATGTTTTAACACATTCATCTAATTAACACAGCTTTAAATGGAATAAATACTCTAAGTGAACTAAACAGAGCGATCACCAATTTCATCAGTTTCAGAGTCACATGAGAGGAATCACCTGCAGCCTTTGACTGGAAATTATATTATGACTGCACACATGTAGGCTTTTCCCGTGATCTTGTGGGTATTCCTTTGGGTGCTCCGGTTTTCCGGTCCATAGACATGGCCGTAGTGCATGTGTGTGAATGCAAGAGTGTGTGTGTTTTCCAGTGTTGGGTTGTGGCTGGAAGGGCATCCGCTGCGTAAAACATAAGCTGGATAAGTTGGCGGTTCATTCCACAGTGGCGACCCCAGATTAATAAAGCCAAAAAGAAAATGAATGAATGAATGAATGTTTCTGGATGCTGCTTTTCGTTTTGTCCTAAAATATATGTACTGGGAGACCCGTTCGTGCTGGGGTCTGGTGTGAAGATGTCTGAGTGGATTCAAATAAGTATTATGATTGGAAGACAAATCATTATGAGGGGATGGCGTTCAGCTACTACACCATCATTTCAAGAATGCATGGGTTACAGAATTAGGGATGGTGGCAGCATATGAAAAAAGGAAATATATTACTTGACAAACTGGATGTTTATCAGAGAAGATGGGGAAATTATTTGGCATTTTTGGAGGATGAATAAGGTCACTGTGGTGAGACACACGGTAAAAAAATATTATTTGATTTATTTATGGATTATTATTAATGCATTGTTTTTTTTTAAATAATTATTATTTTCTGTGTACGTGATTTTTTGTTTATTGAGTTTATATGAATTTATAATAGCAACATCTAATTACTGTAACTGCCGCTGTTGAGAAGGTATTGTATGGAAGACGAAACTCACAAAAACAATAAAGAAATAAATATGCAAATAAATGAATAAATATATATACACACAATTTCCTTTATAAATAAACCAACAAATAAATACACAAACAAGTAAACGAATAACTAAATACACAATTTCCTGCATAAATAAAACAATAAATAAATAAACGAATATATGAATACACAAATTCCTGCGTAAAAAAAATAAAATAATAAATACATGCGCAAATAAATAAATAAAGGTAGATATAAATATACAAATTACTGCATAAATATAACAATAAATAAATAAATACATAAATAAATAAATGAATAAATATATACACAAATTTCTGCATAAATAAAACAATAAATAAATATGCAAATAAATAAATTAATATATAAATCTACAAATTCCGGTGTAAATAAATATATAAATAATTAATAGTGTGATGTAAAAGGGGAAAAAAAAAACTTTCTTTTTTTTATCAGGTTCATCTTAGGTCAGACATTAAAATATACATAATATTAATACATATAAATATACGCACTGATACAATTCACCAAAAAATTAATTATCAGGAAAAATTATAATTATACACTAAAGAAGTATGTGAATAAAAGGTAAAATACCACATTTATACACAAAGCTATACAAACATGAGATAAAAAAAAATATTAATAAAAAAAAGATAAAGTATGTATTAAGATATAGGTGTCTCCTTAAAAAATTTAGAAAATTTAGAAAAGGGCTCGAGACTTTCTGGAACTGTTCTGGCTTTTGTTTTATTGCAAACCAAATCTTTTCAATTTGAAGAGCATATAGGAAAGAAGGAAAAAACTACTTTCAGTTTAGCAATTTCTCATTCCCCTAACATCCGTGTTATTTATTTAATCATTAATCTGCCCGCACTGTTTGTTTATTTATTTATTTATTTATTTATTTATTTATTTATTTATTTATTTATTTATTTATTTATTTATTTATTTATGCATGGATTTGTTATATATAGAATTATTAGCCCCCTTTAAATTTTTTATTTTTTTTAAATATTTCCCAAATAATGTTTAGCAGACCAAGGAAATTTCCACAGTATGTCTGAAAATATGTTTTCTTCTGGAGAAAGTCTTATTTGTTTTATTTCAGCTAGAATAAAAGCAGTTTTTAACGTCTTAAAAAATTAAGGTCAAAATTATTACCCCTTTTATATATTTTTTGATAGTTTACAGAACAAACCATCGATAGACATAACTTGCCTAATAACCCTAACCTGTTTACTTAACCTAATTAACCTAGTTAAGCCTTTAAATGCCACTTTAAGCTGTATAGAAGTGTCTTGAAAAAAATCTACTAAAATAATATGTTCTGTCATCATGGCAAAAATAAAATAAATCAGTTATTAGAGATGAGTTATTAAAACTATTATGTTTATAAATATGCTGAAAAAAATCACCTCTCCATTAAACAGAAATGTCAGACAGTGTCTGTGTGTGTCTGTGTGTGCGCGCCTATGTATTTATTTGCAAATTTATTCATTTATTGTTTTATTTGTGGATTTATTAATTAATATATTTATTTGCATATTTATTTATCATTTTATTTATAGAGGAATTTGTGGATTTATTAATTAATATATTTATTTACTTGCAAATTTATTTAGTTTATTGTTTTTGCGGATTTTGTCATCCATAGGGAGGAAAGGGGAAAGTGGGTGTTAAAATGTGTAAACTGACTGTGCTGTTAAATTATCAGACACACACACACACACACACACACACACACACACACACACACACACACACACACACAGACACACACACACACACAGACAGACACACACACACACACGCATGCATGCATTAACTCAAGCCAAAATAACAAAAGGATAAAAGCAAGCATTGTCTGCCAAGTCCTCCAGCCAACGCCTAGCATCGAGGAGGGGATTTGTGAAGAAGAAAAATAAATAAATAAATTGAAGTGTTACCCCTCACAAACAACAGCAAGAACTTATTTACTTCATACATGGCAAGTTGCCATAGCAACAGACAAGGGAATCTTGAACCATGTTGTTGAAATATGAAAAACAGCACCAAAAAGCACCAAAAATTAATATACGTGTAAGACCACTGCAGTGTCTACTATTTCCCTCCAAGAAAGATTAAAAAAAGCATCAATCTCTCTTCACACAGCATGAGAATTGGGACTGCAATAATTAAGAATGACATACATTAATCTTCATTAATCTTTTTGGAACCAAGCAGCGCAGAATCCCGAGGTTTTAATGTAATAAACGGAGGAGCTTCTCCTTCTTCCTCTCCATCTTATCCTCTCTAATGCTGCATTTTTCTCTCTTGTGCCCAATTACTCTTCTCTCAAATCTTTCACCAGCTGGTGAACCATCCAAATCCCTCTTAATTATGGTAAAACCCTGAGTTTTAAACAAACAGGTCTCTATATGCACATATAGCATTTTATACACTGAAGAACGGACCTTTTTCAGTCATAAACAGGAAATAAGGAAACAACACCAATGGGATTGTAACAAGCCCAACTGGCCATTCACACAATCGTCTTGTATTGTCAAACAACACTTGCGGGATCAAGTGTGTATCGTGTGTTTGTTAATCACAGATAATAATCACAGATAATATCTTACTTTGTGAACAAGTGGGAGGAGTCCTGTCTCGAGGCCGCCGCCCACTCTGCACTTCCTCTCCCAGGTCAACTAGTTGCCACAAGCTCCTCCCCCTGTCGTCACGGCGGTCGAGGCGAAGGCGGAGCCTGACGCTCTGCACACCCAGGACGCTCGGTATCCAGGAGACAGTGGAATCCTCCAAATCCCTGCCCCGCAGTCTCATTCCCACAGCCACTGGCGCATCTAGCAGATCATTACACTGGACACACACATACACACACACATGCAGAGCGTCAGAGCAGAACGCAGTGGAAACACACTTTACATTAGAGTAACTAGTGGTCTAACATCAAGCTGAAACCAAATTATCAATATGTTAGCAATGGCATTGGTATTTTATTGTTATCATCTGTGAATTTGCAGGCTAATTCAACAAACGTTTGAAAATTGTTTCATTAAATTCAATTAAATAATTTCCCAGTGATGGGTTGCAGCTGAAAGGGCATTGGCTATGTAAAACATATGCTGGATAAGTTGGGGCTTTATTGCGCTGTGGCAACCCCTGATTAATAAAGGGACTAAGCCAAAAAGAAAACAAATAAATTAATTCAAATAAAATAAAACTATGCGACGCAGTGGCACAGTATGTAGTGCTGTCGCCTCACAGCAAGAAGGTCGCTGATTCGAACCTCGGCTGGGTCAGTTGGCGTTTCTGTGTGGAGATTGCATGTTCTCCCTGCGTTCACGTGGGTTTTCTCCGGGTGCTCCGGTTTCCCCCACAGTCCAAAGACATGCGGTTCAGGTGAATTGGGTAGGCTAAATTGTCAGTAGTAGTATGAGTGTGAATAAGTGTGTGTGGATGTTTCCCAGAGATGGGTTGCGGCTGGAAGGGCATCCGCTGTGTAAAAATATGCTGGATAAGTTGGCAGTTCATTCCGCTGTGGTGACCCCGGATTAATAAAGGGACTAAGCTGAAAAGAAAATGAATTAATGAATGAAAATAAAACAAAAAATAAAATAATTGAATTAAATTGAAACCTGGAACCAGTATTTTGTAGAGCAATTTTAAGGACAAAGAAAATACAAAAATTAAAAATGGCATAAATTATTATAAAACAAACTAATGAATCATTGTAATAATACTACTAGTTTTCCCTATATTTTTTACTCTGCTACTCTGAATATTTACTCTGAAATAGCATGTAAGTGTGGCTTAGCAACAAGTGTAATCCCTGCACCCCGCCGGCCAACCACTAAGCATACAGTAGTCGCTTTAGGACAAAGTACATGAAAAAGTGAGTCCAGCAATCCTTGCATGCATGAAATATTGCACAATATGACAAGTTTTGCTTGCTAACTACATAACTGAAAACGTGCTAGATATAATACCGCTTTTTGTTCAGAATTATAGGATTATAAAGTACTATAAAACCCAGCGAATGACATGGTCTAGTGGGTCTCTGTCATCTTTAATATGCTGCGATTTCAGGAGGCATGGCTTTGGATGGCAGGGAAGGGACTGCATTTGAAAGATATTAATGCAATCAGTTAGCAGATCACCTACTGCACCTTTAACTGACTAAAACCATAAAAGCATTAACAAAAATGATATAAAACAAACAATAAATGTTTAATTTTAGCAAGTGTTTTTTAGTTTGAGGGTGCTTTTACACATTCCCCATTACTTTAACCGAACTACTTTAGTTTTGAACAATTACAGTTAAATTAATGAGATGGTCACTTCTAGTAAAACAAACCAACTGTAAGCTACAAACTAAGCACAAAAAGCTCTGAGACTGTAATTGAATAATAGTGGGTGGGTGTGTGGGTGGGTTGGATGAATGGAAATCTAATTAAAATAAAAAACACTATGAATATATAAATCTGTAATGGAACGTTTAAAAACTTTAACAGCATCAAATGATAATAAAATATTACTGCCAGGAACATCTGGCCAACATAAAGCTTAAAGAGGTAGATGAAAATCTAGATTCCTTGGATACTGGCCCAACTAGATGTTAACTAAGTAGCAAAGAAAGGTTGAAATTCATTCAATCATTCATTTACCTTCGGCTTAGTCCCTTTATTATCAAGAAGTGGAATGTACCACCAACTTATATGTTTTACACAGTGGATGCCCTTCCAGCTGCAACCCAGTACTGGGAAACACCCATACACTCTCACATGCACACACATAAAGACAATTTAGTCTATACAGTTCACCTATAGCTCAGGTCTTACTATGGGCGAAACTGGAGCACCAGGAGGAAACCCACGAAAACACAGGGAGAACATGCAAACTCCACAAAGAAATACCAACCAGCGACCTTCTTGCTGTGAGGCAACAGTGCTAACCGCTGAGCCACCATGTCGCTGGATGAAATTCAATAGCTATTTAATCTATGGCTTATTAACTTTTGTATTTCAGGTTAAGATTATAATGTCCAACAATTATTAAACATAAATGTAGAGGAACAGATCTTAACCTAAGCAACACGCAGACTTTAAAATACAAATTCCAGCATGTTTTACAGTCACCAGAGTCCAGTTTCACACATGAAAGCAAGCACAAGTACATTTTGAACGGATGTTTTCATTGACCCTAGATCAGGGTATTGAAGGAGTCGTGCATTAGAGCTTCTCAGGCATCTTTGTCAGCAGAATAAAAGATCAGACCAAGTGCTTTGTTTGGCAAAGGAATATTTCTTGGCAGCCATTCCTGACCCAAGCACTGGGTGGGTATTCAGATTGATATTCAGCCGAGAGGTGATGCAATGCTTCTTCAAAGTAAAGATGACCCAAAGTGGTCAGGATGTTAAACACATAAACACCACCACACATGCAATGTAAACAGAGCTTCTCCACTGCAAAGCTCTGCATGTCCCCTGTGGGATGAAGTCACTTGCAGCACTGAGTCAGTCATAATGTCTCATTTTATGTTCTGTGCTTTATCTTCCAGAAACGTCGACAACCGCAACAGAATGTTTCACAGGGATAGAATTTGGAGGACACTAAAACCGTAAAACCAATGAAAAAGAAATGCATCCTCCAAAGCCCCTTCATAGCTTTTTGTTCTTAATTATAGTTCCCGATTCGAAAGAATCACCATAAGTGGACAATAAAGTTGATATATGATGTTATTTTGTGTTTAGCTAAGCATATAAACACGAAAAGCACATGCAATGCCAGAGAAACGACAATTGGGACACAAGGATTTAAAAAAAAAAAAAGAACTTATTGTTGGTGATGATTAAAGGTATAGTCCACCAAAAAAATTCTGCAATCAAATTTCACAATTATGCCATTCCATTTTTTGTTTTCTGCTGAACACAACAGAAGATAATTTAAAGAGCGATGTCAACTAAACAGTTTTGGTTTTTAGCTGAAAAATATATCCATTAATTAACAGGCTCCATATTTCTTGATTCACAGTTTTTTTTATTTTATTTTTTTTATGCTTGAGTGTTAGATAGAACTTTGAGGACAACAAGCACTTAATTGATTATAAAGCTTGTTTGGCATGCTGTCCCAGGAGAGAGCCCTGAGCTTATAAGATCCTCGAGCCTGGGGCTCCCTCCCATTTTGCAAGGCGAGAGAGGAGTTTGAGCTCAGGTAGAACTCGTGCTGTAGTAGCTAATAAACAGATAGGGATTGCTCTTAAGAGATAACCACTTACCATGTATGCTATGGTGCCGATTTGGATTAGTCAGTTAACTTAAGTTGCATGTTTTTGAGCGGTGGGAGGAAACCGGGGGGCCCGGGAGAAACCCATGCGAGCTCGAGGAGAACGTGCAAACGCCATGCAGAAACGTTGGCTGGCTTGGTAATGACTATAACTAAAGATGTTCTTGCTGTGAGGCAACAGTGCTAACCACTGGGCCACTGTGCCACCCATCTAGGAAAGGAGGAGGAGTAGGGGTGGAATGGGGGATTCTTCAAAACGAAGATGACTGTGGTATGTGGTAGCTTAGGAGTTGTCTGGTTTGTGAATCATAAATTGAATAATGCCGGGCCGGCTGCAAGCAATCATAAGCACGTAATCCTCTCGAAATTAGTTTATAAATAAACTTCACTTAGTACAAGACGCATCGGTAACACTTTAGTTTAGGTCACAATTCATGGTATGAACAAACCTTTAACTAATATTACTAGCTTAGTAAACCACCAATCAGCTGTTTATTAACTGTTAGTAAGGCAGAAGTTGGGTTTGGGTTTTGAGGAGGATTGGACATGCAGAATAAGATCATACTTTATAACAGCTAATGAACAGTTCATATCTTAATATTATGCAGATAATAATTAGTTAATAGCATGAATTATGACCTAATCTAAAGAGTTACCGATGTGTCAATTTCCAGTTTGTACACAAACTAAGAAATGTGGTGACAATGCAGCAGTGCATATTCTGTACTTATTCTTCAAAAACTTTAGTCGAAATGTCAAATATTTGCAAATAGAGTCTTTCAAACTCCGACAAGCTCTGCTCTGTATATGAAAGTCTCTCAAATTCCAGTTCATCATAACCACAAATAACCATTTCCATTCCTCTCAGCGTCAAAACAAAATGTGCAGCATGAAAACCAAAAAGTTAAATTGGAACACTGAATGGCTTCCACTGACCAGCAGAAAATTAATCATAATAATAATGGGGGCGGAGAGAAAGATTCAAATTATCCAGCTGCGTCAAACAATAGAGCTTTTGTTTGGAATAGAAATTGGACTAGGAGGAGAATAGAAGACTTTTCAGCAAACAAATCCAGAATATTCTAATTCCAGCATTCTTTGAGCCATTTCCTTATAGTCTTAAAAGAAAAATGAAGCATTTAAAACATTCATTGCACATAAGGTTTTTCCATTCAGATGTAGTTAAAAAAAGTGCCATATTCTAAACCGGTTTACTGGTTAGTGCCATTTGTGGTTTTATTGATGCATTTATGAAACAATCCTGCATAAGGAGATTGGGTTATAATTGAATGAATCGTGAACTCTTTTACTCAGATGGTTTTGATTAGACGTTTTCCTGTAAGGGGAAACATTAGAGTGTGCGTCCAATGGAAAAAGTCAAATCCCTGTTAATTCTGTGCGAAATATTCAGCCAAGTATTGCAGCATTTAATAGCGTATTACAGTGCATTGCATGTTTAAAATAGCTGGTTGCTTAAATCGATTGCACAAACAAACAGAGCTACAATTTCTTTGATTTTACTTTTTCCGGCCCCTCCATTACTCATTTTAATTTAACAGCCAAATCGATGTGGTT